TCTACAAGCATTTTGGTATACACTTGATTTGGGGTTGATTACTTCTGTGTCATATTAAAGTGGTTTTATGTAATGAAAGTGGTTCTTCACTGTGTTCTGGTTTTGTATACTTTTGGATAATTAAGAAAGTTAAGAGGTTATTCAAATATTAACTCCTTTAGTAGCCTTTTTTAATACATAGCTCTATATATAAAAAAAACCCAAAAACAGAAAACCAAAATAAACAAGAAAACCACCACAGATTGTATTTTACCCCCTTTACTATTCTCCTATCCTATTCTGTTGGTTTGCAAATAATTCACTTCAGACCTTTCAAACATTTTCTTAGCAGCTTTAACAAGCTCCCTTATACCCAGCAAGGCAGTTACTACACCATCCACAGAAGAGTTATAAACCCTCTCTGGCTCCCCCAGTTCCCAACCAGTCCACATTACCTCCTGCTTTTCTTATCAGCTGTGTTACCTTTGGGAAAAACATTTCCTCAATACACAATCGTACAGAGCTATCGTTCCAGACTGAGGAAACTATCTGTAGGAACGATTCCCCTCTTTCAAAACTTAAATCCTTCTGCCACACAACTTCCCTTCTCTTGCACAGCAAGAGGGTTGTAAGCCTGAAGATGAGATTGCACTATAACAAACCTGCAAGTCTTGTCAATGAGACTGCAAACTCCTCCAGTTCTAACTGGGCAGCTGGCCTCAGAGGATAGGACCTGCTCTCAGTATGCAACATGTACATCTGTGCACCATCCACTGAAAGGACATATATATAAAAAATCAAGTGAAGTAACTAAGATGATCCCAACCACATGGAGAAATTTAACTCAGCTTTACTTTTTCAGAGGGAGATTTATTTTCTCGTGTTTTCTTACAAGGTCAAGAATCAGATTCAGATCAAGAATTCCATTTCAGTTTTATTTAGCATCTAAACCTCTCTGTGGCTCTCTGCTGGTCACTTGAAACACAGAGGATGGGGGACCAGGGGAGAAGTCTCAGAAAGTTTCTAACTTTATACTTATTGAGCAGATTCCTTAGGGATTCAGTACAGAAAAAAACAGGACAAAATAATGAGCTGCTGCTACATCTGCCACCTGAAATGAAGACAAAGCCATTTGAGCAACTTTTCTTCAGAATATATTAAGATTAAACTCTTAGCAATTTCCTTCAGTTAATGCAAAATCAAAATGAGGCACTACTTCCACAGCCACATGCATCACCTCAAAAGATTTTAAGTACATGCTAGTGAACGTAACTTTAAAATTTCCTTTATTGGCTTCTTTAGGTGCTTGCCTCAGATTTGGAGACAAAAAAATCTTTTTAGTCATGATTACAGCTATTTGATCCAGACAAACTACACAGTGACAGAGAAACTTTTGATAACCCTCATGTTGCACTGATATTAAGATTTACAGTTACCAATTGCAATAGCCTGAATTCTCAGCTTAGCTTTTCTCTGATTTTCTTCCCTCCCACTTAGACAGGAACTGAGACAACTATCCTGTAAAGGAACTCACTCTGATCTTTTGCATTAAAATCCTTCTAACAAGACAATGACAGTTACTCTATATATTTTAACTGAAGGGCAACTAAGACTACTGTAAAATCAAGCTTCTATGATGGAATCTTTGTCTAACAGCAACACTGACTTCATAGTCAGGTTAACTTCTAAGGTAGAAGAGGTAAACTCTTTTTGGTATGTAGTCCAACAGGTGTAACCTAACAAGCATCAGGACAAAGGTTCATGATGAGAAACAGCTGAGGTTAAAAGATACTTCAACTATTTATTCCCCCAGCATAGTTAATACAATGCTGAATGTATGTAACTCCTCTGAAGTAAACCCCACACATTCTTTGCTCTTACCTAAAAAAGCCACCCCAAACCAAAAGAACTCAGTATTGATATAGAGGGCAAGCTGATCTGAAAAAAAACAATTCTGTTGCCACAGTGTACAGCACAGGTAGAAAGCACAGTGCCCTCAGACCATTTCCTAGTTTGCAACAGCTTGTAGCAAAGGGAGTCCAGAGGTCTGCCTGTTTTATGTGAAATTTCTTCTAACCTCAACAAGCAGAGTTAGATCTGACCCAACTGAACAGTTGTTTCTGAACACATTTATGTCTTCAGTATTCCATTGTTACAATGAAAAAAAAAATATCTAAATTAAAGACTTAAACTTTTTAATGGTAGATGTATTAGCAGAATGATTTTTTCTATAAAAGTACTAGTTGTCAGGTATATCGACTACAGACAAATGAACAAATTAATTAAAAAGCTTCAGTAATTTGACAGGAGAATTAGCATGAATGCTACTGACATGTTTCAACAAAGTGCCTAACTAGTGAGAATATGAATGTTTCACTAGCAGGGAAGTCAAAGCTCTGAATAATTGCAAAATAAGATTGAAGCTTTTCAAGCATTCTGAGGTTTGGAAATCCATACTCAGAGCTGCCTGCATACTCCTAGTATCTAAATCTAGTATTTTTCAGTTACAGCCTTAAATTACACAATTAACTTTTTTCTCCATCACAGGAGACCAACCTAATTCTGTCAGAACAAAGTGTACTCTGAATTCTAAGTATGCAAACCTTCTTGTTCCACTTCAAGCTCTACTTGCTTCATATCATCCAAAAGGTATAATAAGATCCACAGGGAGGTAGAAAATAATCCTGAAATAGGGAAACATCCAGGTTTGGTGCCAGGTTCCCAAGAACATCGCATTTAGTACATTGCAGGAAATCAGTCAGCAGGGCTTGGGGAAGAGATATGTATCTCTCCTTTCCAAATCTCCTACAGAGAGGCAGGGTGCAGGGAATAAAAACAAAACAAAACAAACCCAACCATTTTCTATCTATACAGATTCACAGTTCCTTCAGTCTACAACCCTTCCTTCTACTCTACATCTGTATCCAGATTTTATCTGTTTCTTCTACAGCTTGGGAACTACTGAAGAAAACATTTCAGAACAAAAGGAAAGCATCTTTGTTTTCATTACAAGTATCCCAGAAGCAGCAGAATCCCCAATAGGAAATAATTGCCAATCAGTGCCAAATGTCATTTGTCCTCAAGGGATCATCTTGTCTACTGCATTATCAGTGTAAATAAAGCCTTCAGCTAATTTTGCCTCTTAACAATCTTCCCTTCATCTTGCACTTTAACCCTGCCTGTGCATGTTCATGTGTGGGGTGGCAACAGGACTTGGAGTGTGGCACAGCAAAAAGAGGTACCTCAGCTGAATTGTGTACATACAAGTAGGTTTTCATGGTGGAATGAAGCAGCACCTGCAAAACCCGACTGTTTCACAATGTTTAAAACTTCTTGTTCCAGACTCAAAGGTACTAAAAGTTAACCAAATAAGACAAGAAAGTATCTACCAGTATAAAACTTTAAACAATTCAGGTTTCTGGTAACAAGGTAGTAAATTTATATCTTTAACCTTAAATTGAAATTAATTCCAAGTAACCTTTACTGTAAGTGAAGAAAAAAAAGTAATTTTATCCTATCCTAATAGTCAATACACCTGTTTATAAATTACTACTTAGATAATTTACTCAAATTCAAGACACAGAAATAAAAATGAGGAAATAGTTGTTTCACTAAACAGTTTAACACTAGACTCATTACCTACATACATTTTACATGCTAACTTTGATAGATGAACTATTTATAAAGTTCTTTTTTTCCTCCCCTCACCCCATTTGATAATGCTGATGGGATTAAATTACCAACAAAACGAAACACTTCTACAAAATCTAGGGAGAACAGGATTTTATTGAGTTTTACCTGTCTGAAAAGTGCTGGTGAAGAGTTGTCATTTCATGCTTTGTCTATATAGGTAAGTCAAAAGAGAAACTGTTGCAAAAATCAGATAATTTGAAAACCGAGTGTCTATCCAGAACTTACAATTCCTAAGTGAAGACAAATGTGAGAAAAATTTTACATGACGCTTGTCCTTCTCATTTTCAGATGCAACATCAACATGTTAAGTTCCCTCAGAACTATTAAAATACTTTCAGGCAGTATGAATATACAGAGAAGCAATTAGTCATATTTTCAAAAACCCAAGTATCCCAGCTCTAAAAGTGCATGATTTAACACATTAGTAATGGAACATTTTGAAAGAACATTCTTACTAAGTATTAATGCATGCTATTATTACAAAAGTACCCATTGCATATTGTAGGAACAATGTCTTTTCTTTCAAAAAAAAAGCATGCAGAATTGCACCAGATCAGTATAAATCTATTTTTTTTATGAGATTCAAGACACGGTTCAAGTCCCATTAAGAGCAGCTTTGTCCAACTGTGCCACCAGTGCAAGCTTGCAGAAAAGTTTTGCACTAATGTGGCTTAGGTTGGCCTCAAATATTAACAAAGCAGGGCACTAAGACTGAATCTTGAATTTTAGTAATAATTAATTTAATTTGTTTAAATAAAGTATTAAAAACCACTGTAAGAATTAGGAGTAAAAGCATGTTCAGTAACAAATTTAGGCCTTACTAGCAGCACATACAGGTGTTTACACAAATGCTTATTTGCTGTGGTCTTTAATACTGAGAAAACATCAGAATGTGGCCCATGTGCTAAAAAAACAAAACAAAACCAACCAACCACCACCAACAACAAACAAGACCAAACCAAACACACAAAAACTCTGGGGAAGAGTGATATAAAGCCCATGTCAGCACAACCGCAGAAGTTATAACCCAATACAATGGGATGACTTCGTTTAATGTAAGGAGCAGTCACAAATAAACCAGTCTATTTGTAGCAACTGGATTAATAAAACTAGAAGTAATCCACTCCAAATCAATAGGATATTATTTCTATAAAGTAGTTGATTATACCAATTTTCTAAATGGATTACACCGATTTTCTAAACGGTTGATACACAGAAAATCCAAGATGAAAAAGCAGATGAAGATGTAAAGCATGTTAAAATGATGCAACGAAACAGAGTATATAAATTAAACAGGAATGTTTAATCAAGACAAACCTTTTTTTTTTTTAAACATAGGTTCTTCAGGGAATTTTTTAACTGGAAAATGAAAGCCTATTCCCACAATAGTGAGGCCATTTCTTTCAAGCAGCTCTGTTGTACAACTGTTACCAGGACCCTAGGCAGTTTAAATTGTTGTATATTGATATTTCTGAACTAGAAAGTTTTAAAATATTGTATAGATTTGTGCTCCACATACTGCAAGCAATTAACAACACGAAGAAAGATTCAATTCCTCAGCTAGAATACCAAACTATACCCAAGTATTACATGTACACAATACTTGCACAGTGACAAGCACAAGAAAGTACTAGTTGAGCACTTGCTTTCAAAAATCCATACCAACTCTTAAAATCCATTCCAATTCTCCCAAACCACCCAGTATACAATTTAAGGCATCTCCACACAGCCATCCATCCACCCACCCACCCACTCCCATACACACAATTTATGTTGGAGGTGTTCACTTTTTCAAAAAGTTCACTATGTCAACCAGGTACCATTTATTATTTATCCCTATAACTGTGTCAGCATTGAGATATGACAGTTAAACCAGTATTAAATCAATACAATATTTACATAGCACAGCACATTAAGCTTGAGACACTCACTTGGGGGATAAAACCACATTTTAAAACAGGACAAAGGTCATCAGTAGAATGTTTGAAAACAGCTATTTACAGGTCCCTATGACATAACTACAGTCTGTACACTGTTCCAATGGGGCAGGCAGAAGCAGGACAGGCATTTATTTTGAGGAATTTTAAACATAAGATTTGGAAGCATATTGTTATGCTACCCTGAATGCCATAAACCACCTTAACATTCTCCAAGGTGGTCTCATATCCTAGGAATGGCATGTCCAACTGATACAAAACAGACAACACAACAGGTTACTTTGTGGACAATTTTTTACTCATGCTATTCAGTCATCTGAACTTTGAAGGAAATTCGTCCCAGAAACTTGTCACGATCATCTTCATTTTTTAAATTAGGTGAGCCGTGGATCTTACACTCGATTGTTATTTCTTCTTTGGTACTGTTGGAGTGAATTGCTAGTTGAACAGCCACTAGAGGCTGTAAATAGTGAGCCTAGTAAACAGAAAGATGGGGAAAAGATTTCAGATACTCATATTTAGCATGTAAATTAACATTTAATCCATCAGAACAGTTAAGAAAAAAGGTAATTAAGAACCTAACCTTTCAAAGTCCAATCTGACACAAGCAAGACTTTTTTTTCCCCAAGTTAGACAGTCAAGTATACATTCTTCATACTATTTCTTAACTAATATATTCAACACTACTTAAGTCACTGACTTATTTTTCTAGAAACCCCTACGAAACAGCCTCTGAAATTATATTCTTTCTTCCTACCCCATATTCTCTTCTGCTTGTTTTGGTTGTTGTTGCTTTTTAATCTTCTAATTTAAGTGCATTTTGCTAAAAGCATTGTTCAACAAATTCTAGTTCACTAACTTCCCTTCCACTCTATCCCATTTATTTCTTCAGCATCAATCCATTTTAAAATGTATTATCTGTTGGATAGATTTACACAGAAACCTTTCCTTCAACATCCTGATAGTATCCCGGTCAATCATATTTGGTGGAACAGTTACAGCTCAGTCCCAGCACTTTAGAACATGGTCCAGTAGCCACAGTGGTGTTAGGCTGACGGTTGAAGCTGATGATCTTAGAGGTCTTTTCCAAACTTAATTATTCTATTAATCTTTTCCCTATAATAAAAACTAAAATTTAAGAATGAATGCAGAATCAATTTTTCTTCTGTCAAGCCAGTATTATTTCTCAAGTCCGATTCAATTAGGACAAATTGAATTATCTGGTAAAATGCCTATGAATTAAGTAAGAGCTTATTTATTATACCTTGTTAAAGCAGCATTTAATCCAAAATTCATTAAGTTGTTCCATAATTTATATTTTGTAGGGCAATACTGCTGATTAAGCACAATTATTTATTTTCTTGGTGGAAAAAAAAAACACATAACCAGTGAACTAAATATGACAGTGCAGCAGTATAATATATGCCTTAAAATTTAATTGGATTTTTTTCCCCCTCTCATTAACTTAAGAGACTCCTTAATACATTTATGGGTTTTTAGGCTATTTTCTCTACTCTTACACCAAAGAAAGCACTACAGAATGAAGTCTGATTTACAAAGAATGATGCTATGGAAGCTGATGTGCTGATACCTTTAATGTGAAGTACTAGTTAGAAATCAATTGAAATAACTACTTTGCTAGGATGGCAATTTTACTACATCAGAAATTTTCCCATGCTCCTATAAACTTCAAAATGGGAGGAGAAAATGCAGCTCAAAATCCTCTGGTTTTAAGGATTATAACCACATTTAAGGTACTGAGTTTTCTAAACATTAGATATAATACTAATTCCTGTGTTTCCTCAGAGTCTTCTCATCACCAAGATTTTTCAAACAAATACACAAATTTCTATGATGTTTTGTAGATAGTCAATAACAGAATGGACTTCTACTCAATATAAAATTTGAGGGGAGGAGGGGAGAGAATGAGCACCTTCATGAAGCACCACAGATCTCCTAAAACAGGTTAACATTCCCTAAGGTCAGGGAGTTGGGTTCCCTGGGGTGGGCAACAAAAGGCAAATAATATTAGCAGCAATATTAGTCAAGTCCTTTTAGCTCCTTTACAGAATAAAAGTAATTCAACAATCCTACAGTGATATAAAAAATTTGTTGTATAGCCAAGCAATCAATCCTGTTTCTTGAGACCTGGTGAGACACCTCAGCCTTTAACCACTCGACTGTCTCTACTGTTTTACAATATACTAACGTCAGGAGAATTGAACCTCACATAAGCAAGAATCCCCCAAACCACAGACCCTATCCCACATGATAAAGTGTGAAAGGACATTGAACCGAACATAAACAAACAAAAAAGTAAAGCTTTTTCTTAAATATCTAAGTCAAACAAAGAATATAATTGAGTTTTGCCTGACTTGGTTACTCTCCTTCCATAATCTTTCCTCTTCTGTCAGTCTAGCAGCAACACATTAAAAAATCAAGAACTACAATGAACAACTGTGGTACACCGTGAATCCAATAGATTGACACTTAAAAAGTATTTTCATTTTCAATGGTGAGCAGTGACGGTAAGTCTATTTATTAGACTAACTTCATCAGTAAGATGCAATATAATTTTATATTTGATAGAGGGTACAGATTTTCTGTATGTAGTTAACACAAGTTGATGAAAGGGAAGAAAAACGTAACTAAATTCAAGTTTGAAAATGAGTTGGACTTTTAAATATATGCGTAAGGGCTTTGGGTTTTTTTAAGACTTAAGTGTTCCTCAATTAGATAAAGAAAATTTACATCAGAATACACTGATAGGTGGAGCAAGCAAAGAAAAACAAAGAAAATTAAAAAGAAAAAAAATCTGCTACCATGAAGTGCATCTTCATGAAACAGAGCAACCAGAAAACATAACCACAAAGTCATAAATAAATATGATCAACAATACCATAACTGAATTATTAACTTAATATCCCCAAGAATTAAGCACTAGAAACTATATTGTAATCTGAAGAACCACGTTTCTTTTCCTGCCTTTCCCTGCATTCAAAAAGATTCCAAAATGTATCAGTGATCAAGAAGTACAAAATGTCCTAATACTACAACTAGTACACAGCCCTTTCTCCATTAGGACAATGCCCAGAATCCATCTTAGTAATTGTAAATGTAAACAGAAACAAAGTATTTACACAATGAAGACAATCCTTTAGACATACTTACATGCAAGCGTTTCCCATAGTAGGGAAA